GATGGACCACACCTTGAAGAAAACCTTGGCAAAACTGTGCCAAGAAACACAACTTCGTTGGGACCAGGTACTATCCCTTGCCCTCCTCCGCATAAGAGTGGCACCTAGAAGTGGGCTACAATGAAGCCCCTTTGAGATTGTGTTTGGAAGACCTTTTCAGGCCTCAGTTCTGAAAGCCAGTCCGGAAATAACACAAGATTGCCAGATCACGCAATATGTGAAACACATCCAGGAGGTTCTGGCAGTGATTCATAACTTTGCAACCTCAAGGATCTCTATGCCTCCTGATCAACCATTGCATCCCTTCAGACCTGGAGATCAGGTCTTACTGAAGACCTGGCAGAGCGGGGATGCTCAAAACCAGCTGTCAGAAAAATGGACTGGTCCCTATGATGTCTTGTTGAGCACACATACTTCTCTGAAACTTGCAGGCATAAAACCCTGGGTACATCATTCCAGAGTTAAGAAAGCCCCAGGAGGAACTGACCCAGAGACGAAGTCCCATTGGTCTTGTGAACCCATTGAGGACTTGAGATATTTGTTTAAGAAACAGACAAAAACTTGAACATTACTGACTTCTTTTCCAGGTATTGTTGCAGGATACCCAAGGACTCATTTTTTTTCTGAAGAAACCCTGAGAAAACTAACATGCTCTAACCAATCTTCTTCCTTTCAAAGTTTAGGAGACGTGAAATAACATCTAGGATCATGCATATGCTGCCAGTATTTTTTTTTTTACACAGAAAGGCGTTCAATCTTGATTTTGGTGTTTCTTTTTAACTTTTGTTTTTAACTTTGAGATTTTTTTCTCTGCTTTTTTTTTTGTTACTTTGGCCTATGAGTGAAACTGCAGTTGTATGAGATATCCCACGCGTGATACATGGTACCTAAAGAGCTCTTTGTGTCTATATGTTGTATGTCTGTATGTCCTTTCCTTGTGTCCTTGTCTTGACCTCCAGTGGTTGACAAATTGGTACACATGGTGCCCAAAGACATTGGAAAAAAAAAAAGTCTCCAGTTATGAGAAAAACTAAAGGTTATGGTTTGATTGTCAACATTGTGCTACTGAACTAAGCCGGTGCCTTAATAGAGATTGAACATTGTTGTTTCTGTTATTTTTATGATATTTATGGCAAAGCTTCCCAGAAATCTAAATTTAAGAACAAATTTGGTAGCCTGTCATTTGGCTGATGCAAGGAAATTTTGTGGAACCTCAGTAGAGCTCCTGAGACACTCCACAAAGTTTCTCCCTTTCCTCCTGGGAAAGGCATTAGATGAATTTGTTCTATTTGGCTCACCTAGTGAAGTAAAACTAGAAGGGAAGCATTGTCACTTGGGAAATCGGGTAACACCATGACCTGATATGGATGTAAATTGTCAATGATGATTGTCACCTTGTAATATTGTATACTTCAATTGCTTAATATCTACAGGAATTGTTTCTGGAAATATAGGGAGAAAAGGTCTCAACAGATTCCTATTGATGGAACTGTTGAGAGTAAAACTTTCCTACTAAGGACTGAATAGACTTGGAAATACACCTGACATTTACTAAGTTTTCCTTGACATAATACTGATGATTTTTTTGCATTTTGTTCTAAATCCACAAAGTTTTCTTGTTTTGGTGACCAGGATCTGCAGCAAGGTTGTAATTTTTTTTTCTTTTTTTCCAACAAAGCTAACTTGTGTTTACATTTTCTCTCCCCTTGATACCAACACAGCATAAAAATAGTGGTAGTAATCTTTTACTACTTATCTCAGAGTCTGTTTTTGCATAACTTCCATAGGGATTTTGTTTAAACTGAAAAAATTGGACATAAGTTTCATTGTGTGGCTTTGAGTGGAGTTCTTCCAGAAAGTTGAAACAGGGCTGAACCAAGAAGAGGAGAACCTGTTTGCTTTGTTGGTAGGGCTCCAGAGACCTCCAAAGAAGGTGAGGAAGCTGCCTCCATTGGCAGGACTGGACAACCCGGCCAATGAAAAGTCCCTGGTACCCTCGAGAAGAGGAAAGCCCAGGTGGAGTCTGATGAGACCAACTTGTTCCAGAAGCCTACACAGACCGGATGTCAACAGTTTGCTCTGAGTCCTATATGGAGTATTCCAACGAAGCCAGCTAAAAATTGCTGCTTAGTTATTCTGCCCTGTGATTTTATGCAAAAATAGGCAATATGGTTTATTTATTTATTTATTTTTTTAATAGAGGCATGCTTTATTTATTTGTTTGCTGGTTTGTTTGTTTGTTTTGTTTATACAAGCACTGGGTACAGTCAGAACCGCGGGAGGGTGAGAGAATTCACCAGAGCCAGAGCGGGGAGCAGAGCAGGCAGAAGGACCGAAGCACACTGCTGAGGGGAGCAGCGGGCGGCAGGAGAGGTCTGCGCGCCATGTGGGACCCTCCTCCGGTGGCCGGGGAGCAGCCGGGGATCGAACCGGCGCCACAGAGGCCGCGGGCAGCTTCGCAACCCAGCGCTCAACTGCTGCGCCACCGGGAAGGCCCGGCAATATGGTTTAAAAGTGGATTTAGTTTGCAAACTTTTGCTATGCTGTTAAAAATAAATTTGGGATCAAGGTTGAGAGAATTTGTTTTCACATAAGTTGAACCATTTTAAGATTTTTTTCCTGTGATTTTTGAGATATCTGCTGTCTTGTTCTGGCTAATGCCTCCAGATGTTTTCTTTCGGCTGGGACTGATGAACTGGTTTTCCAGGAATGGAGGACTTTTGCTTTCCACAATGAACACTACCTGGAGGGATTCGTTTTCTTTCAGACTGGAACCCTGGAAAATTTTCATCTGAGACTGTATCCCAGCATCCATATGTTTGATCTTCATCACCATGGAAATGGTGGCAAAAAGTGAAAGGGGGGAATTGTTAGGGGGAAATGATGTCCTGAGCTAATCCCATACAGGCTTTGTGGACTCCACCCCACTCCAGACTAAAGCCATCAAGACACTGGGAAAGACAAATCCCATCACCACCAAGGGAGGGTGGCTGGGACCTGAGGGTGGAGTTGGGCAGCCAGGTTGGGTATAAAAACCAAGCACGTGGGCCTTGGGGGTGATATCACCTGCCTCCTGGCTCCTGGCTGGCGGCAGCTCTCAGAGCACCATTTTGGGATTCCAGGTGGGCGGATCGGGTAGGACTCATTTAAAACTTTGTCTCCCACTTTTCTCCCTGAGCTGTACCTTTCCCCATTTCCTCTTCCCTTGTCAATAAACCTTTTATGGACCTTTCGCGTGTGCCTGCAGTAGAGCATGGATAAGTCCTTTTAAGCGCGCGGGTGAGGACCCACAGTCAGGCACCCCGTTTTGTATCGGGGTGCTCTACAACAATTCCAGTGACTCTGCAGCCCCAGCACCCTCTGCTCGTGGCCTCGGTGGCCTGCTGGAAGCTTCTGTGGGTCTTCTCGGAACCTCAGGGCGCAAGCTGGACGGAACCTGAAAGACAGCGACCCCCGTCAGGTCCAGGGCGGTTCTCACCACACTCCCCCCGCGCAGGGACGGCGAGGGCTGGGGCCGGGCCTGGCTCCCCACGCGCCCGGGCGGGGCTCCGGCTCCGGCGAGAACCCCCAGTCGCAGCCCTTCCCGGGCCCTCCTGGCCGGGCGGAGCCGGAGCCCGAGCCGGGCGGGCACCCAGCGCGCCGGCGGGACGGAGCCGCCCCTGCAGGTCCGCCCGGCCGCGGCTCCGTCGCGCCCCGCCCCGGCGTCCTGTCCCGCCGCGGCCCCCGACGTCCCTCTCGGGGCTCCCGGACACTCGCCCTGCGCCGAGGCGCCGCCCGGCCGCGCGCGGCGGGGTCGCCCTCACCTGTCGGGGTGCGCCCGCGACGCTCTGCTCGGGGCGGGGGGCGCGGGGTCCCCGGCGGGGCGCCCGGGCTCCCCCAGGCTGCCGAGCCGCAGCCGGCGCCCGCGCGGGCCGGGCGGGGAGGGGGGGCGCGCCGTGCCGGGAGGGGCCGGGCCGCCTCGTCCGCCGCGGGCGGGTCTCCCGGGCCGGGATCCGCCCCAGGACCCTCCCGACGCCGCCCTCCCTGCGGGCGGGTCCCGGCCCGGGCGCCCCGCCCTCCCCACCCGCGCCCGATCTCCCGGCGCAGCCCGGCCCGGCCGCGCCCTGGCGGGGGGTTCGGCTCCTCCCGGCCGCCAGCCCCGCCCGCGCCCCCCGGGACCGGGGCCTTTGTGTTCCCAGACTCTGTCCTGGTCTGTGTTTTCGGGGTCCACAAGCTCATGGTTTCTGAAGACAAAAGAAAATGGTGTGTCTTATGCTAATTGGAACAGAAAATTTGACCCCATATCCTGGGATCAGAACGTCCCCAGAATTCCTGAGATGACACATATTCAGGTCACCGTCGCCCCACACAGGGAACATGCACCCCACTCAACTGGGTTCTGGTGCCAGAACTGCTGATGCCACGAATGCACCAAGGGGCCTCCCTGGGGGTGAAGAGTTTAAGTCTCAGCGCTGTCATCACTGTGGCCTGGTTCAATGCCTGGCCAGGGAGCTACCCACATGGCGCAGCAGACCTCTCCTGTCTCGCCCACTGCTCCCCGCAGCAGGGGATTCAGTAGACCTGGCTGTTCTGCTCCCCGCTCTGTCTCGTGAATCCTCTCAACCCCACACCTCTGGCCTGCACCCCAGTTCTTCTATGCAAAAAAAGAGAAAAAACAACCCACCAGGAGGGGAGAGGGTTTCTTTCTCACTGTAAGGCTTTGTGTGGAGGGCAGGGACTTGCTGGGCTAGAATGGTGAAGGGAGTGAGTCACAGGACTGAATACTTGGCAGGGAGGGTAGAGGGCTTCACGGGCAGGGCCTTCCCACTGGGTAACCCCTCTGAGCCCATGAGGGAGCATCAGGTTTCCTGACAATTTACTCAGGTGGGGGTAGGAGGTAAGCACTGGGGGAGAGCCCAGGAGGAGAGAAGACACGAGCCCTCAGACATGAAATGTGGAATCAGACTCTTTATTTCCAGCACTTTCCTCAAACCGAAGAACATGAACATGTTTACAGCAGTTCAGCTCTCATCTGTGACTAGAGTCATGGAAAATGATGAAGAACAAGGTCCGAGGGAGAAATAGGGGATGAGCCTGTCTGTGAAGGTGCCCGTCAGCGTACACAGATGGGATCTGGTACTCAAACTGTAAAAGGAAATCTCTCCCAACTCGTAGTCCAGGAAAACGCCAACTCGAAGTTTTGCTGCCACAGGGGAGTGGAGGCGTGTCCCGGTGGGCCGCTGAAACTGCCAGCAGCCATTGCAGGGGGAGGGAGGTGCCAGGGCATCCCTGGGGAAAGATTCCTTGCACACACCCAGGGACCACACACCCGCGCCTCGGATGTCCACCTGCCAAAAGTGCCTGCCGGCCTCGAACCCCTGAGCGCTCAGGACAGCCTCACGGGAGGTAAACGCCTTGGGATGAGCAACGTCGTTCGGTGCCACCCTTTCGTAGGTAAAGATGGCGGATTTCCTGTCTCGTGAGATAATGAGGTTGTGGTGCGCGGTCTCGGGGTCTAGAGTCAAATCCACCTGAAACGTGTCCATGATGTTTTGCAGACCAATGTAATGTGGGGAGAGACTAAAAGTCATCTTGCATTTGTATGAATAGGCTGCTGGGGCCTCTAGGTTAGCGTACCTGCTCCACTGGAGGTGGCTGCTTCTGACCCCCCTCAGTAACCCCAGGTCTGTCTGCACACACTGGGTGCTGATTTCCCGAAGCAGACTCTTGAGTGTGGCGCCGTAGTCTGACATCTGGTTTCTGCCTTCAGTGACTTTCATGTAAACATGAGACATTTCCATCAGCACCCGGGTATCAGTGGCATCCCTCTCCTTATCCAGGTAACTCTTACAGTGTGCGAATTCAAAGTACAACTCACTCATTCGAGCTTCCACCGTTTCTCTCAGTTCCTGCGTTTTGGAGACCTGCGTGGCTAAGCCCCTCTCAGCATCTTCCACCTGCTTCCTGAGGGGCTCCAGGGAGCTCTTGAGCTTCTCCCTGTGCTGAGCAGCAGCTTGCTCCAGGGGTACCAGGGGGTGGCCCCGGTGGGGGGAGGAGGCCCCACACTGGGCACACAGCAGCTCCAGGTCCTCCTCACAGAACAGGGCCAGGGCCTGGTGGTGCTGGACACACAGGGCCTCCTCCTCCTGCCTCCTGCCCTGGCTGCTAGAGGAGGGCAGCTGCCTCAGGAGGTCCGTCAGGGCACACAGCTGGGGGTTCCTGTGGGCATCCCTGGAGGGGCAGTGGTGCTGGCAGATGGGGCAGGGGAGGACGTCCTGAAGGCTTTGCCAGCGCTGGCGGAGGCAGGGCCCACAGCAGTTGTGGCCGCAGTCGAGGGTGACCGGGTCTCGCAGGGGGTCCAGGCACACGGGGCAGCTGGCCTCTGCCTGCAGCTCATCCAGGAAGGCGGCCAGGGCCATGGTGCTGGGGGCGTCTGTCTGAGGAGCTGCCTGAGGAAGGCCTGGCTCTGCAGGAGCGGAAGGGAGAGAGAGGAGAGAACTGGCAGCCTTTCCTCTGCTGCTCACAAGCTCCCAGGAGGGTCCAGGGGCTGCAGGGAATGTGGCCGCTCAAGCTGCTTCTGCTCCTTCCGGTGACTCTGCAGCAGCAACTGTTGGAGTTGCAGCCCCAACACCCTCTGGTTCTAGTGCTGTTCTAGTCTTTACTCTCCAACCTGAAATTAAACCTTCACTGTAGTCTTATTTCTGGGAAAATTTCGAGATGGAAATTATAGACAATGGACAGAAATTAAAGTTTTAGAACACGGACACTGGCTAGAAGTTTCCATGTTCCTGACAGCAAATGAGAAGGAGGTTTAGAAGGACATACACATTAAGGAGAGAACGTGCAATAGACATCACATCACTTTTTCCATAACTTTCGACCATAACTTTTTCCTAGCATTAACTACATGAAGGACCAAATTGGTAATTATAATCAATGGATCGATGATATCTGAGGATTTAAAAGGCTAATCTGATTTTTAGGAGACCATACTTCTATTTTATTATTATTATTATTATTATTTTGGTTGAGCCAGGCCTTTACTGGAAGGTTCCCTCCCCAGTGGGAGGTCGTGCCCACGGGGCTGCAGGAGGCCCCATGGCTCAGACACCCCGTCCACGGGATGGGCTCTGGGCTGGACAGGGAGGGCGGTCAGTGGTCACTTCTCCAGGGGTGCATAGTTGAGCAGCTTCTCAATCAGGTCCACGTGGGTCAGCAGCATGCGGCGGCAGCAGTAACGCTTCAGGCCCAGGCCGTCCAGGGCGTCCCCCTCGGTGTACCCGGCCTGCAGCAGCCCCAGGTAGGCGTCCCACTTGTTGCCGACGATCTTGCCGCAGGTGAAGCAGCGCACGGGGATGATCATGGCGGCGCCGCTCTAGGAGACCATACTTTTAAAATGCACAGCACGTATTTGTACACTACACCTTGTGCTGGGTAGGATTTGCTTCCCAAGAATGAGGCGTTGGGGACAGTGGGACCTGACTTCCTACATGTTCGTATGCTCCCGACTGAATAACGCAAGCGCTTGGGAAGGGAGATGTCTGATTATTAAAAGCCTACTTTTTAAAATACTGACTCATCTTTTCAATTATTTTACTAGACACTTTATTTTACAAAATATCTTTTAGGGGGCACACAAACAACACACTCAGTGGCGTCATCTCACTCTCGCCTCCTCCTGTGTACCTCCTCCGCCATCCCCTCATGGAAGGGCTTCCCCTCATTCCTCACGGAAGCAGCTTCCCTCCGCTCTATGGCCTGCTCCCCATTACAGCCTGACCTTCCAGGATGCAGGCCTCCCTGGTCACCCAGTCCCTACTAGGTTGGTATGGTGACTGGCTCACCTGTGTCCCAGAATGCACTCCCAGCAATGCTCAGCTTGGGGTTGGGGTCTGCGCAGTGCCGGGCACTCAAGGCTGCAGCGCTGGGCCTTGGGGTGCTGGGGATCCTCCTAGCAGAGCAGCCTGGTCTCCAGGTTCCAGGTCAAAGACAGTCTGCTCTCAGGGAGTGTTCTGTTCAAATTGTGAGGAAGCTCAGCTTTATATACCCCTTGAAGGCATGCCCCCCTTCCAGTCTCTCATTGGTCAGCATCCAAATCCTATCAGACTCCCAGGACACGCCTGGGTCCTGAGGACAGGTCCCATCATCCTCTCGGATGTCTTGTGCAGGGTGGGGCTCGTGCCCCTCTCCAGTGCCCCACCCTTTCTAATCCTGCACTCAATCTCATCTCTCCATAAACCCTCTTTCTCACCTTTCCATTTTCTTACAAGAAAAAAAAAATCTTGTTTTTCCCGCTGTTTGCTTGCTTTTGAGTCATGTTCTGCAGTTCTCAGCATGCTGGGGGGCCCCACCAACTGGGTTACCCTGGTCTCCAAGGTTGTCCTGTTTTGTTGCCTTACAGTTAAGCTTGGGAAACATGATGCTGATACTCATAATTGTATCATAAATAACGTAGCTGTCAGAAAGATCAGGAACTTATTTGCCTTCGAAGCCTACTGCTTGAAAACATTGTCTAAAACAACCTGTTTTGTCAGCTCCATACTAGTGCCGAATTGCTTTGAGCTTTCATGGGACAAAGCTCAGTAAACAATAACTTTTTTTTTTTGTTTAAATTTATATTTATTTATTTATTTATTTATACAAGCACTGGGTACAGTCAGAAGCGCGGGAGGGTGAGAGAATTCACCAGAGCCAGAGCGGGGAGCAGAACAGGCAGAAGGACCGAAGTACACTGCTGAGGGGAGCAGTGGGTGGCAGGAGAGGTCTGCGCGCCATGTGGGACCCTCCTCCGGTGGCCGGGGAGCAGCCGGGGATCGAACCGGCGCTGCAGAGGTCACGGGCAGCTTCGCAACCCAGCGCTCAACCGCTGCGCCAATGGGGAGGCCCAACAATAACTTTTTTATTTTAACCAAAAGTAAACTCATATTGCAGTTTAAAAAAAAGCAAAATAAAATGGAGCTGGGAAGTCATCACAGAGAAATTGTATGACCTGCCTCCTTTGAACAGGGTCAAAGACTTTTTTTTTTAGGAGATGAGTTTTTTTTTATTTAAAGATTTATTTATTTATTTATACAAGCACTGGGTAGGAGTAGGCTTTTGCAGAGGTCAGGCATTTAAGTTATAGCAAGCACTGGGTACAGTCAGAAGCGCGGGAGGGTGAGACAATTCACCAGAGCCAGAGCGGGGAGCAGAGCAGGCAGAAGGACCGAAGTACACTGCTGAGGGGAGCAGCGGGTGGCAGGAGAGGTCTGCACGCCATGCGGGACCCACCTCCGGTGGCCGGGGAGCAGCGGGGGATCGAAACGCGCTGCAGAGGCTGCGGGCACCTTCGCAACCCAGCGCTCAACCGCTGCGCCACTGGCCACTGGGGAGGCCCAGGGTCAAAGACTTTTGAACTGGGTGAAAAGCAGCTTAAGAACCATCAAGTAAAAAGTTGTTTGACAAGTCATCTGAATCATAAGGACGCGTGATAATGGACAGCTTAGCTGGAGCTATCAGTTCCCTTTTTAAACTTTCTAGAGTCAATAACCAATTACGTAGCATCAAGAACAGTTAAAGCTTCACTCTCATTTACCTTGTCTTCCTCTTTTTCTCTTATACACCAAACTTCATCACTCCATAGGATATGTAACTTTTTCACCTAAGTTTTTGCACCTCAAATTGCAATTTTTGATCCCCAATAAATGAGCTTTTAAATTGTCTCCCTAATTTTTGGGATGACGGGAGCAGACACAGGAATTGAAGTCGGAGAGGGCGCAAATCTCTCTCCGGGAGAAAGTGCCCAGTGGAGCAGGGCAGTGGGAGAGTGCAAAATGGTGCCTGCCAGGGGGTTCCCGAGAGCATCCCCGCAGGCCCGTAGGTGTGTGCTGAATTAGACGGCAGCCCTTGGTTGACATTCTGATGAGTCTTTCCCAGAAAGTCAGGGCATGTTTCAGTACTGCAGCCTGATGAGTCTGCCAGGCTTCTAAGGGGCTCTCAGTCCACTGGACTTACGTTTGTGACCCTGCTGGGTCTCAAAGCTGGATGTGCTGCGGCCTCTTCTCTCAGGGGCACATCTTAAAAGCTGAGGTGCCCATTGGAGTCCAAACCCTTTGCTCCTCAGGGAGCTCTGGGTTTTGACTTTCCTACTAATGGTGGGTGCTGTACCCTCCTACATGCTTGGAATGGGACTGTCCTCATTTGCCTGACAGGAGTTGCTCGGCTCCTTTTAAATTTTTTCCATAGGAACTTGCTCCACATGCAGCTGTAGATTTGGTGTGTCCATGGGAGGAACTGAATTCAGGATTTTTCTACCTCAACATCTTGAACCACAATCCTGATATGGTCTTGATGAAGTTTTTGTTTTATATGTTCCAGGTTCTTACCAATAATTTTTAATTCTGTATCATCCCATCAGTTTCTGTATTTTTATACCAGAACTATTAAATGCCAAGGATAAAGGTTACTGAATAAAAAATAAGAAAGTAACTTTGGCACAGAAAAATTAATAAATTAAAGCAAAACCCAAAGATATGGGGAGACCCAAGAGAGCAAGATAAGCTGTAATCAACAAATGTCTGGAAATACCCCAGGAGCTACTCTAAGCTTCCAGAGAACATATTTAATAATAAGCACATCAGCCAAGAAAGGCCAGCAAAATGTTTAATGTTTGAAACATAAACAAATATAGACTTATTTTATTCTGCGGTAAGTGCTATTTTCAGAAAAAACAATGAAAAGAATAAAGAATAAAAAGAATAAAGAATAAAATAAAAAATTATCAATCTAAAGTCATGTTAGGTACAGAATATATAGCAGTCTATTGCTAGCGTTTTAAATCTGCATGAACAACTTCAAATACTTGAGCAGCTAGATGCTTAAACGTTTTAGAAAACGCACTACATAGTAATTACACCAGAAAGTTATTCAATATTAACAAGGTGCTATGGTCCTAAAAGAGGCTTCCAAAAATCTAATAATTAAGATCATCGCAGAACTATATAAATGTGTGATGGTCAACAGAACAGTTCTCTAAGCGAGTCAGACTTGAAGTGGAGGTCTGTGACCCGAGGGAATTACGGGCTGTCCATCTCCAAAGCTTCAACAATGTGTGCGGCTGATGGACGGTCTTTAGGGTCTTCATTTGTGCACACGGAGAACAGTTCAATTACCTTCTGGTACGATTCATCCAGTTCTTCCATGTTAATAGGGGGCCGAGTTCCCAAAGCTGCGTAGTATGCTTCATCATCAAAGTCACTCTCATCAAAAGTTTTATCTGTTCGAGAGAGTTAGAGAATATAACCATTAAACAATTCACAGACTTGCTGGTAAAGCTTAGTGACGGCTCAGACTCACCCTCCGGAACAAGAACATGCCTGCAGCACACTCTCTGCCAGCCACGCGCGGTCCCTTCGATTGTCCTGCCTTGGTGTGTGGCGTATGTCAGCTAGTCATGTATTTATAGGCTGCCCACCCCTCCCACACGGTGATGGCTTTCCTATCTTTTTGAGGCAAGGGAAATTTTAAAGATAACTTTTTGTTAACTATTGATAGTGAATGACTCTGGCTGGAGGAGAAACAGGGGCAGCTGAGATAGTGGGACTTAGGCATACAATAAAAAGGAGCCAATTATTCAGGAAGCTATTGCTAAACAGACAATGTGAAAGACAAGGACAGAAAAGCCCTACAAAGGTGGTCCTGAAAATAAACTTCTGAAAAGAAGTGTAAAGACAGGCGCACATTTAAGGCAAATGGAGATGCTTATGGACGCCACCCTGTGCACCTAAAGCCTCCAGATTTCATCAAGGGCGCCTGGTACACCGGCTCTGAGAAGTCGCCTTCCTCTCCCCAGACCCATGGACACAAGGAACCCCGCGGGCCAGACTCCGCCAACTCTGCGAGGTCACTCGCCTGAGCTTTGCCAAGGGTTTGTTACCTTCCCTTTTGGCCACCAACTGAACTGTATGCTTGTATTATTGTAATATGGATTCCCCTCTGCCATAAATTCATATGCAACTGGCTTGAGTTTAAGTGAAATTTTCCAGCTCCTGGGAAGTTAGTATTCTAGAGATCCCAAACCTGGATAGAAGCTGGATTATCTCAATTTACCTCCATATCCCAGGCTACATCTCATTTATGAAATTAAACCTGAGACAGTACCAAATTGAGCATCAGTTTTAATATAATCTGTATCTCACATCACTAAATCAACTTGCACTTTAATTTTAATTTAATAGAAATATGAATCTCACACATTTTAAAATTTGCAATAAAATATGTTATAAGCTAATCTTTAGTTCAAACTGAAGCAATTAGATTTTATGTTAAATGTACAGTCATACCTTCATCGTCATCATCATCTGGAAGATTAATGTGTGGAATTGACAAAGTCAGCATTTCCCACAGAGTGAGGCCAAAAGCAAATATGTCTGCCTTATTGGTGATAACACCATTCTCCTCCAAAGCTTCCTTGGGTTTCCAAGGCTCAGTGCCAATATAATAGGCCTCAGGGTCAGTCACTGAAACAAGAAAACACTGTTAAACGGACATAAGGGCAAGTGACTAGAAATCACTAAGACAAACAAGAAACCCCAGGAAAAATGGGCAGATGACGTAACAGGTAGTTACAGTGCTGTCATCAGTGTGAGAGAAGTAGCGCTTCCACGCGCCCAGAGCTGCTCATCTGGGGAAAAGGAAAGAACCGAATCATATACTAGCTTTTCTGCCCCGGGTTATAACAGGTAAATTGGCATTTTCACTTAAAATGTAGAGTCGATTTGTGGTGGTGTTTTTTTTTTTTTTTTCCAATGAAAACACAAGTTTTCAAAATTCCAGAATTTTGATTGGGATTGAATGGAATTTGTAGATGATACATTTATTACAAAGGACATAACTCAGGAGCAGCCAGGTGAAAGAGATGCATCGGCCAGGTAGGATGTAAAGGCACAGAGCTCCCAGGCCCTTTTCGGGGCCTCCCCCAATCTCTACATGCAACCTACAAGCTCCTCAAGCATTTTTTAGATTCCTTAGAAATGTGAAGGTTTTCATTCCGATGAACACCAGATTTTTGATTTCCAGCTCTGAGGATGATGAAGGAGAACCGCTAGATACTTCTACTTTTTATAATCAGGTTTTTCTTCTGTGACTGAATATATATGGTCAGTTGTAACATTCCACCGCCTAGAAAGTGATCTCATTATTTACTCAGATAGCCTAGATCTTACTGTTGCCTACTTAGCCTACTCAAGTATTGGGAAAATTATGTTAAGAAAACCTATTTTTACTGAGTTTGGCAATTTTCTCTTTTACTCACTGGAGGTGCCAACCTGATAGCAGTTATTTAGCCTAGAGTCATGATGGTTCTATCTTTCGTAATGTACGTTCTAGACAGCATTCGCTAACCTTTTCTTTACACATATGAGTGTGAGAGAGACAGGGAAGGAGAGATCGGTTTTATTATACACTTTTATAGTTTTTGATATTTTAAGAACATGAACTTACCTATTTAAATATGGAAAAATTAGAAATTTAAAGATGGAATAAAAACACTATGTAAGAAGTTAGCCTACTACTTACCAGTCATATTTTCATCTAATGGTAGTGAGACTCCTACATCACAGATTTTAATTGTTTCAAAATCACCTTTAATAACAACATTTGAAGACTTTATGTCTCCATGAAGTAGTTTCTTTTCTTGATGTAGATACTAAAGTAATAGAAAAATAAACACATCTGAGCAAAAATACAATAAGAAAAAAAAACCTTTTAAACCAAAACAACAATTTGAACCCCCTCCTAAACTACAGGCTGTATCCACCCATCACTTCAACTTACTGGAAGCTGGAGAAGGCAGCAGCATGCGTGAACCCAGCCTGCTGTTCCTACCGTGAGCCTAAGACCCATGGGTGTCCGAGGACTTTGTAGAAAGCTCATTTTTAGTTTCAAACCCTTCTCACATACTTTACAACCAAAAGATGCCACTTCAGATTTCAAAATCTACAAGTAAAACTAACAATATTTAAAAATAATTTGGGAATCTTCAAAGGAGGCATACTTTCCTCCAATTTTTGACTCAGGGCTACATATAATTCACAAGCACCACAGGAAACACGTGTAACCGAAGATTTTGTTTTGGTTAACCCTTTCTTGGAACTGACAAGTAACGACATTTATCCACAATCAAAAAGAATCTCAGAACTGGGCCTCCCTGGTGGCGCAGCGGTTGAGCGCTGGGCTGCAAAGCTGCCCGCAGCCACTGCAGTGCCGGTTCGATCCCCGGCCACCGGTGAGGGTCCCACATTGTGCGCAGACTTCTCCAGCTGTGCCTGCTGCTCCCCTCAGCAGTGTACTTCGTAGGTCTGCCTGTTCTGTTCCCCGCTCTGGCTCTGGTGAATTCTCTCACCCTCCCACGCTTCTGACTATATCCAGTGCTTGTATGAATAAATCTTAAAAAAAAAACCAAAAACAAAAAACTCAGAACTGTTATTTGTTTATCCATCAGCGTTTGTGCATCTGTGAGCTGGGTTTAGAAATAAGGCAGAGGGCCTCACTGGTGGCGCAAGGGGTTAAGCACCGCACTATGAAGCAATCTGCAGCCTCTGCAGCGCAAGTTCGATCCCCGGCCGGCCAGGGAGCAACCCAAATGGGGCAGCAGACCTCTCCTGCCTCGTCTGCTGCTCCCCTCAGCAGTGTATTTCAGTCAGTCTGCCTGTTCTGTTCCCCACTCTGTCTCTTGTGGATCCTCTCACCCCCTGTATCTCTGGCCTGTACCCCAGCTCTTGTATGCATAAATAAATAAATCTCTTAAAAAGAAAAAAAAAAAAAAAGAGGCAGAGACCATCATTGGTATAGAACGTGGAACTCTTACTATATTTTAATTTAAAAACAATGTGTTCTACACACATACTAAAATATGAACAAGCAATTTGGACTGTTATTATGGAAGCCACTTGTGAGTCATCCAACAGTTTTCTGGAGCCACCATTACTTGTCTGTCCAAGGCAAAATAATTTGTGTCACACATTTTTTCATTTGACCTACACACGTATATTTATGACATCGAAACTTAACATCCCAAAAAGCAGTCTTTAGGAGGCAGGGTTTTAGAAGACAGGGGGTTAGGCTACACTGCCAAGAAAAATGAATAAATGTGTGCTTTTAACTGAATTAAAATAAGTATTATCAGAGACTCTACAAAGATTTTAACCTAAGGCAACTACCTCCTGCAGCAGAAAAAAATTCCACTTAGAAATTAGGAATATAAATTGTTCAGTGTCTTCAAGTGCCACAACAGTCCTTCAGAATATAAAGGTACAGGTACCTGTAACCCTCTTGCCATGTTCAAAGCAACTTTTAAAATCACAGCTGCTGGAAAAGGACCATGGTCATCTTTATTTCGTTCTTCTATTAAGTCATTCAGAGACTTTTCCCCTCCATATTCCATAGCGAGACACAGACTTCCATCACTGGCTTCAGTGAAAGCACGATAACCTTAAAGAAAGCAAGACATTTCCTTACTAGAAGAGGGGAGAACAACAGTACTAAGTGTTTTTCAAGAACATGACTGAAAACACATCTGGACAAAAACTGACAAATTATGAAAGACCTATTACATACAAAACTAATTCAGTGGGTGGAATTTACAAAGCCTTCAGTGTTGGCCAAGAGCATCACAAATTATAATATTTAGTACTCTGTGCCTCTGTAAATACAATGGCTTTACCAGCCCTCCTTCTATTTCCAATGAAAACAAGGAAATTGTCTAAAAATCATTTCACGGAGACGGGGAGGGTGAGAAGGAGGAGAAGACCACAGTGGACTACGGCGGAGGACCAGGGTGTGTTGGTGGTGGGAAAATTAGTGACCACACCCAAGGGGAGAAATCCTAAACTGTCTCAAAAAAAAAAAAAAAAAAAGGGGGCCTCCTTGGTGGTACAGGGGTTAGTTTCAGTGCTATCAAGCCATTGCTATTGCCAGACGCTGCAGCATGAGTTCGATCCCTGGCCAGGCAGCTGACACACATGGCGTAGCAGACCCCTCCTGTCTCCCCGCTGCTCCCCTCAGCAGTGTGTTTCAGTAGATCTGCCTGTCCCCACTCTGTTTCTGATGTATCCTCTCACCCCCTACCTCTGGCCTACACCCCAGTTCTTGTATACATAAATAAAAAGAAATCTTTAAAAAAATGTAATGAGGACATAAAACAATGGTACCTCATTAAAAAATAACATTAAAAAATAAGACTTAAAAGTCATTTCACGTTCTTGAATTCAAAGTTCTAACACCACAATGACTGTAGCTGTTTCTATGACATTTTAAATATATTTGAGCATCTAAAAAAAAAGTTATATTCTAATTTTTATTCCCAAATGTTCATATTAATGTGATTCTTGCCAAACTCTACCATCTCTTCATTTTTATTAGTGAAACCAATGAAGAGATCACATAAGCTGTTCTTAGATAAGTGTTTATTATATTTTACAAGACACTGCTACCAAGCAAATTTAAACTTACCCACTATGTTTGGGTGATGAAGGCTTTTCAAAATCTTTGCTTCATCAGTTAGTCTTTTTTGATACACACTCTGATGATGATCATCACACCTAGGATTAATCTTTTTCACAGCCCAAGGAGAATGAGACAAACCTCTTGGAGATCTTCAAAAACATTAATCAAAAAATATGTAGACAAATGAATAATGACAGTACATTTTAAATTACTAAAAAGAACTAAATGAAATGAAAACAAACAAACAAACAAACAAAAAAAAACCTCGATAGTAATTTGTTTAAAGACTTTTTTTTAAAGATTACCAGCACCTCTGGTGCATTTGCTCTTTAACTGGGTAAGTTCTGCAGAAATGCGAAACTCAAGAATGTATCCCCTGGTTTTCATGGAGAGCTACCATATGTCCTCAACCAAAGAAATGGCAAGAAACCAAGAAATCGTAAGACATAAAACAGAGGAAAAATGGAGGATCCAATTCACCAGGGAAGCAAAGGAAACCCCTAGGTTACCACGAAAGGAGACTGGGTGACAGAGCCGCATGCCCCGGTGTGGTACTGGCCAGGCATGAATTGTCTGGTAGTTTTCTGATTAATTCATATGCAATACAACAATTTGTATTCAAGAAGCTTTAAAAAAAAAGAAAAAAGGCAACAAAACCCCAAAAAAGATTAGCCATGAACCTGTGAATTTTTTTTTCTCAAAATGACTAAAATGACTTAATAGTTTTCAGACACTAAAGCACAACTGTTCACAAAACAAATTAGTAGCACATAAACACACAAGGGGGTGCTTAAACTACACAAAGGCCTCTGGAATACCCACTTACAGATAATAGCTACACTATCCTCAATTCATTCAGCTTGTTATTAAAGAAAGCGTTTCTATGTGGAAATAATATAAGCCTAGACAAATCTAACAGGGTTAGCTGGGTTGGAATAGTAAACTAGATTGATTCCAAAATCAAGTTAGGATGCATGTTGACATTAAATACAAAACTAGGTACAAAGTGTTAATTAAAAGAAACAACTTTAAAAATTTCTGTCTGCTGGTGTCTGTCTTATTAGCTATAATCATCTGTTCTACTGTTTCATTTCAACACAACTTGCCCACTTCATAATCATGTATTTACCCTTTTTACTCAACAGCGAATGCCAGAAGAAGTAAACACTTTACTTCTGTTAGAAGACAGGACCTGACACAGCATGTCTCCAGAGAGAAGAGGCGGCAGCCAGCGATAGCTGCCAACACTGCTGTCTCTAGGAGGTTTTCTTCGTGAGAATACTTTGTTATTTCCACACAGGAACCCATTTCTTCTACCCCTCTCCCATCCCACACAAGCCAGGAAAAATTTTGTGGTAAATTACTTCTCTTTTAGTAATCCATCAGGAAGAAGTCAGGGCAAAGTACACCAGGCAGAGCTCTGGCAAAGTCATAAAAGTTCCGAGGACTGGAACATAGCAGTTAGGTAGGCTCAGGAACAAACTCCAAGTGGAAATTTTGAATTTTCATATTCCTTTTTGTCTCTAAGTACAAAGAAACTATGGTTTCATGTAAAAAGGTTAACCTGAAGTCTTTACTCACCTTTTCATAAGGTAGACATTTACGCCAGTACCAAAGCCAAGCTTCTGCATAAATGGAGAGGCAGGAATATTTATACATGGAGTTGAACATAACGCTAAATGTCAGAAAGAGGAATGAAAAATAAAATTAGCATTTGAAAAGGCCTCTACAAATGTACCCTGACATTCCCAGTGCACTTTTGGTGGGCATTAATTGGTATGGTCTTTTCAGAGAGTAGTTTCACATCACATCACATCATATCATAATGTTAAGTGGACACTCTTAGAACAAGTCTAGATTTGGAGTTCTGTCTCATGGGATCACCGAAGCAGAAGCCAGCATACAGACTGCTTTCATATGGCTCACAAGAATTGCTTTTACATTTTTAAAGGGTTGTTAAAAATAAGGAAACTATGCAAGAGTGTCCCCTTCTGGCCTATAAAGCACGAACTATTTATTATCTGGCCCTTTGCAAAGTTGGCTGATGACTGCAAATGGAATCAATTAATACATAAAATACATCACTACCAAACTGGCTTTATCCCAGGAATGAAAAGCTAGTTTAACATTTGAAAATGAATGTGAATGTATCACATTAACAGACTAAAGATGAGAAAAATCTCATTTCAGTCAATTTTATAAAAGCTCTTGATAACGTTTAATATCCATTCATAACAACCAGAAATAAAAGAAAAATTCCTCAACCTGATGAAAATCATCTGTGAAAAATCTTCATCTAGCGTAATATTTCACTGGGAACAAGTATGACCAATCACAAGTCTTCTGCTCAAAATATACTGGCCCCACTGCCACAGGAGAGAAGAAATACAGGGGGGTAGAGGGAAGTAAAGCTATCTCTGTTTAGCCACAACAATACAACTATGCACAATATTTTAGGTATTCTATACTTAGAAAGTCAATATGCAAAAATCCATATACTAGAAATGAATATAAGATTTTTCTTGTTATTTTCTAAAAATTTTATAATTCTGGCCAATTTTGTATATGATATGAGCTAAGGATAGATTTGCTATGGATATCCAATCGCTTTATTTGTTGAGAAGATTATTCTTTATCCACTGAATTGCCTTTGAAAATATCCTTAACAAGAACAATACACACAGAAGAGGGGAAGGTAACATGGTTCCTTGATGGTTCAAACTAAGCTGATTCTTCACCAGGGAGAAGCCCAAATCTGTGAGTGTCAATAAAATTGGCCCATAGATGAGCAAACCGTGGCCTACAAAATAAGTCTTGTCTGTTAAGATCAACATTATAAACATTTATGCTAAAATTATTTGTGTAAGACATATACCAAAGACTTAAATGAAAATACTAAGACTTTCTAAAAGCAGTAACAATGAAGAGAGGTTTTAAACTGCGACCTTACCAGATTTCTTTCTTTCAGAAAATTTGCTTGGCGTCTTGAAATTACTGATTTCTTCCATTGTAGTATTACTCTAGATCCTATGACGAAAAGAAATTGAAAAGTTATATGGCACTTATAAATACAAACCTCATTCATGAAGAAAAAATTCCTATAGCAATATCACTCATTTATCATATAAACATAAAATCTGAAAACTGAAGACTGCAACAAATTTCAGTCCAATTTTATTTACAACCTAACCACATCTGAAAGAACTGGAAAAAGAATAAAACCAAAATCAGAAGGAAGACAATGGTAAAACATAAGTAAATGAAATAGAAACAAAATGATACAAAAGATCAGTGAAACCAAGTGTTGGTTCTTTGAAAGGATAGACAAAACCAATAAATTCTTCCTTAGAAGAAAAGGAGAAAACCCAAATAAAAAGAATCAGAAATAAGAGAGACAAAAGTACACCAGATACCACAGAAATACAAAGGCTCATAAGAGATTGCTATGACCATCTAAATGGACCAATTTTTGGAATCAAACATCCTTCCAAGACTAACCCAGGATGAAATTGTTTGAAGAGATCAATCACAAACACAGCAATCAAAAGAGTAATCAAAACTCTTAGAAGAAAAACCCAGGACCAGACAGCTTCACCAGTGAACTCTACCACCTTCCAAAGAAGATCTACTCTTTACCCTTCTCAAACTTTTCCAAAAGCTGAAGGAAGGAAAGAGGGAGGAAAATTCCCAAAAACATTTTACAAGGCCAATATTACCTGATCCTAAAATCAGACAAGGGCTTAGGGTATTTTAAAAAGAACAAACACTGTTTAAGAAGCTATATTAAAAAAATAAATGGGATTTGGCAAGCTAATCAAGAGTCCTGCTGGCACCAACGTCAATGACTTTAGGAACCTAAACCAGCAGGGTAGTAACGACACACACACAGGGGTACTACTGGCAAAGCTAAGGGGAAGCAAACAGCAGAAAAAGGAAAACTAAAAGAACAAGAGAAAAAAGCAAATACAACGAGAAAAGAGAAGCAAAACGGAGGAAGGAACGAGAAGTCTGATCAGATTATTTCTGAGCCCCTGCACCACTTGTTAGGGGGAAAGGATGTCCTGAGCTAATCCCATGCAGGCTTTGTGGACCCCACCCCCACTCCAGACTAAAGCCATCAGGACATTGGGAAAGACAAATCCCATCACCACAAAAGGGAGGGTGGCTGGGACCTGAGGGTGGAGTTGGGCAGCCAGGTTGGGTATAAAAACCAAACACGTGGGCCTTGGGGGGGGCTTGCTATCGCTCGCCTCCTGGCTTCACGGCTCCTGGCTGGCAGCCAGCTCTTAGAATGTCATTTTGGAATTCCAGATGGGCGGATCGGGTAGGACTCATTTAAAACTTTGTCTCCCACTTTTCTCCCTGAGCTGTACATTTCCTCATTTCCCCTTCCCTTGTAAATAAACCTTTTATGAACCTTTCGCGTGTGCCTGCAGCAGAGCATTGATAAGTCCTTTTAAGCGCGCGGGTGAGGACCCACAGTCAGGCACCCCGTTTTGTGTCGGGGTTGCTCTACAACAAACTGACGCCTTCGGGAAGATTCCCTCGGGAGAAGCACAGACCGCTCACGCCCTGATCCCGGCGCCCAGGGAGGGCGGCTGTTAAAACCCTTCTTCCACTTTTAACGAACGCCCAGTCCCCTCGCTTGAAAACTGGAAGCAACGTTAGTGGAGGAACTCGAAGAAATCTGCGCCCCTTCCCCCGCCTGGAGCCCCAGCACCGGCCACAGCCTCGGGGAGAGCCGGAGCCGGGACGCGCAGAGCAGAACCCGCAGGCTCCCAGCAGGTGCGGCCCCGAGGTGCCGCCCGACCAAGACGCCCCACCCTGGCTCTCGCTGCGCCCCGCAGTGAAGCCCCCGAAACACAACGCAGTCCGCCAGCTCGCGGGGGCCCAGCCGGGGTACCCCAGACTGCCAGGCTTCGCTTGGAGGCCCCTTTCCCCCTGAAACCCCCGCCCCAGCCCCTGACTGCGATGTGCTTTCGGGTTTGGGTCCCCAGGATGATTCCTGAAGCTACTCCCAGCGGAAAGCCCAGTTCCCGGCGCCTGCCCCCCTGAACCCCGAGCTGTCAGCGCAGCGAGCAGAGCCCAGGCCTCTGGGGGCGCTGCCCCCGCCCCCGCCCCGGCGGCGCGATCCGGGCCGAGGAAAGCCCCCCTTACCCGGGTCGTGCGGCGGAGACGCGCCCCGGTAACGAGAGGTCCGGACCACGGCCGCCTAGAAGACCCGAGCTCCCGCCGCCCCGCGCAGCGGCCCCCCCGGCGCCGTCGCCAACAGTCGCGGCCGCGGGCGCCCGCCCTCTTTCAAAACCGCGCGCGCCGTGACGTCAACGGGCCGACTACGGGGCGGCGCGAGGGACCTGCCGCGCCGAGCTCGCCCTTCGCGCTCCGGGCCGAGGCCCTGGGCCCGCCCGCCGGGTACCCGCGCGCTTCCGAGGCCAGGAAGGGGAGGGAAGGACAGGTGAGGACAAACTGACCCCGCGGCGCGGGGCGCCCCTCAGAGGAACGTCTGGCTTCAGGAGAATTTGTATGCTGGCGTTTAGAGCTGCCATGCTCCGCCAGTACACTTTGCTCGGGACTTGTAATGATTATTTATTTATTTATTTATTATTTTTATTTTTTAAAGATTTATTTATTTATGCATACAAGCGCTGGGGTGCAGCCCAGAGGTGCAGGGGATGAGAGGATCCACCAGAGACAGAGTGGGGAACAGAACAGGCAGGCTGACGAAACACACTGCTGAGGGGAGCAGCGGGGAGACAGGAGAGGTCTGCCGCGCCATGTGGGTATCTCCCTGCCCGGGGATCGAACTCGTGCTGCAGTGGCCGCAGATAGCTTCAAAGGTTGCGTCTTGTCCCCTGCGCCACCAGGGAGGCCCTGTAATTTTTTTTTAATATGAATTTTTATTAGCGTCCTTGCAACACTAACTAAAAATGAATTGGCCTAGAGCAGCGGTCACTTTTGACTGAGGAGAAAAATATTTAGAAATTTTGCTAACTTTTGTAACTGCCACATGAATGTTCATTTATTCAACAAATATGTCTAGCGCCCCTACTATGTGTCCTTTGTGTTTGGAATGCCCACCTCATAGGAGAAACTATGCTACTTACTGACAGAGGCTAAGAGGAGAAAATTTGGGATGGAGGCATGGAAAGACCAGAAACTGGAGGTGGGGGTGGAAATGAGTAACAGTCGTTAAAGCAGCTCTAGAAATGAAGTAACCTTAGGCGTCAGCTGCTGTAGCAAGTGTCAGACGCACAGAGCAGAGGTGGAGATGTGGAGGGTGAGGGCCATTTGTAGAGAGTCCCTGGTCCTGACAGAGTAACCCAGTCACACCCTCGAAGTAATTATTTAACAATAGATAAAAATTCTACAAAAGTGGGCTTCCCTGGTGGCGCAGGGGTTAAAGACAGCGCTATCAGAATGTCACCAGCCACTGTGAGAAAATAAAATGATAATAACTTTTTTTTCCTTTCTTCTTTACTGATATTACATTTGAATTCTCTTTGAGGCCAAATGGTGCTGTTGATTGACTGAGAGAGCAATGGGAACATTTAGGGGAGAAAAAAGGAGAAAAAATTAAAAAGTCAAATGTTGCATTGGGTAACACCACACTGATAAAGAAACGGGAGTCGTGGAGCAGGCTACACAATGCAGGATGCTGCTGAAGAGCAAGATCCCGGCCCTTTTTGTTGATATACAGCGTAAGGGGGAGGAGCAAAAGGAAAGGGAAGGAGATTAAAGAAAGGGGAAGAATGTAGAAGATCAGGGGTCATGAGTCAGCCCTCCAGGCACGTCTCATCTGCTTGATGACTCAGTATTGTCATTGAGATCACTCCCTAGATCCCCAGCCATGGTTTTAATCTTATCAACAAGGCATCCACTGATCAGCTTCTGGGGTCTTTTGTTATATATACATCAGTCCTCACCCCCCCCCACTCCCCCCCATATTCCCGGTTGTACCACGTGATGCATAGCCTTTCCTGCGTGATCCAGCTTTGTGCTCTTGTTTGATTTGAAAGGCATCTTGCATGTTGGGTTCCTGTACCAAACTGAACAGGTCATTTTGACCTTGCTTAAGATTTAGAACTGTAGGTAGCAAAATGGTGGCCGAACAGGCCACTTAGGAGTAGCAGACCCACAGTCAAAGTTTTGTTACATCTGTATATCCAACCAGTCAATTCGACACATCACTAGGGTACTAGGGATAGGCCAGTTGGTCTGGGAGGTGACAGAGTTGATAATTTAATGTCTTAGCAATGGTCCTTGAATCCATGTTTGCTGACTGCTATGGATTGAATATTGGTGTCAAGCCCCCCACCCCATCTATATATGGAAGTCCTGCCCTGCACTGTGATGATGTTAGGCGATGGGACCTTTGGGAGTAGTAATTAGGGTCAGATAAAGCCCTGGGGCAGGGGCTCTGGCCCAGTGGGATTAGCGTCCTTACAAGAAGAGACACTGGAGAACTCTCATGCTCACATGCACTCTCCCCTCTCCCCTTCCACTGCCAAGAGAGGAAACAATGGGAAGGCAGCTGTCTGCACACTGGAAGAGAGCCCTCTCCAGGCCTGGACCACACCAGCACCCTGACCTTGGATTTCCAGTGTCCAGAGCTATAAGAAATAGACGTCTGTCATTTAATTGTCCTGTTCGTGGTATTTTGTTATGGTTGTTAGAGCCGATTAAGACACTGACCAGCTCTGGAAGGGGTAAAACTCCAGCACTGGGATAGGGGCAGAAAAGAATGAGAAGGAAACTGAAGAGTCTCAGTCCCGCACACCTTCTAATTCTTGCATTTGCCCGTTTTCCCAAAAGTTTCTCTTTTGACTCTTAAAAGCACATGGCTCTCAAGCCCTCCATTGTTCAGCAGACTTGTTGAAAATATGGAACCACTCTATTCTCCTCCCTCTGCATTCAAATGTCCACCAACAGTAGCAAGACTATGCCAGTGGTTATTTATTTCTACAATGGAATACTCTATGGCAGTGTCACTGTTGGCAGGAACTCAGACTAACTTCATTATGTGGTGCAAAGAATCCAGACACAAAAATGTGATATTGAGTAGTTCTACTTACAGAAAGCCCAAAAACATGCAAAATAAAATCCTAGTATTTGGAAGTGCATGTTTAACTGGCAAAAAACATTTTTTATAAAAAACCCACCAGTGATGACTGTAAAAATCATGTTTCATGGTCATGTTACAGGGCAGGGAGAGGGGCAGCCCAGACCCCCCCAAACCTGCCTGCTCTAAATAGGTTCTGCCATCCGCTGCATCAACACAAAACATGAGACTTTTATGGGAAGGAACTTTAATACAACTAGGAAACAGTACAGGAAAGGCAAAGAATCTAGTTTCTAAATCAAGCACCCAGTTACCCGGCCCCTTGTGGGTAAAAGTCCACCCAAGCAGGATTAGCCCAGAGCAAGGCCCCAAAGACTGCCCCAAGTCTAAAGCATCTTCCAGTGGGGACCCACAGAAAAGGATCAGAAACAACCAGACAAGTCTGGGAGGAAAATAACAAAATCAAAATCAAGACAAAAACCGCCATTGTCACCTCCCCACGGGTCTCACCCACATCTGTATCACCCCGTCCACGACCAAAAGGCAAGCACAGTTTCTTCACGTGTCTCTCGGCTCCATGTACCTCCTCCATATCTCCTTCTGGCTCCATCCTGCTCCTTCCTTCCTCAGTCTCCTCTGCAGCTTCTTCTCTCCCTGCTCAGCTCCACCCTCCTTTGGGTGGGGCAGGAAACCTGGAACCTCCCCCTTTCCTGGGAACCCCCCTGTTACAGTCACTTTGGAGGAAGGGAACATGGCATAATTGGGGGAATAGGATGGAGGTTGACATGAGGCTTTGCTTTGATAGATTGTTCAAGTGAACATTTTGTTTTGAGTTCTTTTCTTAATTGTTGTATTTCACAATTAAGAAGATTTTTGAACAAATAAAGGAATGAGAAAAACGTGTGTGATGGACAGCCGGCGTAGGGAGTCGACCCTGGCTGTGATTTGGCTCTGCCAGTGACATGCACTCGGTGCAGTTCGGAAGAGAGTGAGATGGAGGCTCCTCCTGCCCCTTCATTTCTTTCCCCCTGCAAGCAGGGCTGTGAGGTTGGGGCACTAGTATTTGTGTTCTCGTGTGTTGAGCCAGCAGGTACATGGCAGGTTCACTATTGATTTGGGCAGGTGGATAAAGGAGAGTCCCGGAGCCCTCGGTGTATTTTTCAGTCTTTAGTGCTCTCTCTCGGGGAACCAGGCACACCAGGCAGGGAGGCTGGAGTGCAAGCAGGCGGGCACAGGCCAGGTGGGGGTGCTGGGAGGTAGGCAGGCAAGCAGCTGAGCCTCCCCGCCCCCCAAAAATCTTGATGCTCATTCTCTGACTTCTCTCTGGCTTCTCTCTTGCATGTCATCTCATGGTCTTGCCGCTTCTGTAGTCACACCACTCGTCTGCTCACTGCTGCCCCTGCTTTTATCCCAGCCTCTAGGCTCAGGTGTGCACATGTACACATGCACACACACCCCAACTCTAGGTACCCACAATCGGGCACATGTGTCCCGTGCCCACACTCCCAAGCACCTTCTGTTTTAACACTATCAAGGCCGCAGGTGATAGCCTAAGAGGCTCGTGGCATAAAAAGCCTGGTTTAATTCATTTACCCTACACCGTGTCTAGTCACTCACTTGGTGGGTGTTGAAAGACCCCTGCAGTGGTCAGTGGTGCTCTCTGGACCCCTGGATCACGGCTACAATGGGTATCCTTGAACCTGACATTCCCAGTCTGTCTTCCTGCCTGGCTGGCAATGAGCATGGTGACCCTCATACTGGGAAGACAGAGAGCAGAAGACCGGACACTGAGCATGTTCCACAAAGAAGAAAAAGGGATCAGTTGGACCTCATCACAGTGAAAAATTTGCACATGTGCATGCAAACTGAAGTGTATGTGAACATTTAGAATGCGCTTATATTCAGACACACAAGGGCTAACCTAATAAAGGGGGTCGGGGGAGATTTTGTTTTGTGAAGAGGGTGAGAAGACAAACTCCGGACCAGGAGGAATTACTGGTGAACCACATTATTTGCCAAGGATGTGTATCTGGGCTGTTACATCAGAACTCTCAAATTTGAACAGTAGAGCAAGCAAACAATCCAGTTAGAAATGGCTGAAGATGGGGCCTTCCTGGTGGTGCAGGGGTTAAAAACAGCGCTATCAAGCTATCTCCAGCCACTGCAGCAAGAGTTCTATCCGTGGCCAGGGAGCTGACCCA